GATTTAATAATATATGACCCTAAGGATGTATCCTAACGAAAAGTATTATTGAAAAATCTTAAGGTCGTATAAAAAATTTTTTTTTGTAACGGCTGAATTTACAATTAAAAAATTCATGAAAATAAAAAAATAATAGCACGACGATTCAACCTTTTTACACGTCCTTGTTATACCCTAAAGTAGTAAATACTTGCGTGCCATAAAGTCTAAAAATATATCATATACCTTTTTGATATTTGTGAGTGATGCATGATTTTAAAAAACTTTTTCACCTAAATATCATAATTAAAATTGAAGTTTTATGTTTAAATGAGTGAAAGAACATTATGTAGCGAATGAAAATATATCACTGTAGATATGATAACACGAGGTGCAATAATAAAACTCAACTCCGGAGGGAACATTGTATTTTATTTTGAATTACAATTATTTGAAAAAATATAAATATATATTTAAAATTAAATCAAAAGATCTATCAAAAGCTTTTTTATGCATTTTGGCTTTTATTTAACTTCCCACGATGAAAACTGGAACTTGTAAATAGACAGCATCATGTATATTTTACATTTTACTCTGATAGTATTTAATGTACTGTCGTAACTAGGGAATAAGATAAATAAGACCATATCTCCGACAAGGGTAACTCGTTGACTATTTACGAGAAGAAAAAATTGATATTACTCGCAGTTTCGCTACAAATTATATTATTTTATCCCTTGCCCCACAAATAAAGTAGACCAATAAGAATTAAAAAATTTATAATTTTCCCCAAACATTTTTACCATTTTCCTTTTTTAAAGTGAACTTTTTTCTCAATCGCCTCAAATTTTTTCGTCCATCTATCGCATGTCGCATTACAGTTCTCTATTTATTACAGATTTCGATATAATTAATAGTCAAAAAAATTATATCAAACAATAAATTCTTAAATTATCAGTGAAAAATCACAATTAATTTTTAATCAAATCACCGTGAGTTCTATTACACGGGCTAATATAACCCGCCTACCAAAAACTGGCAGAAAATAAAATTCTTAATCTTAATAAAATCATTATTCGGTAAATGTTTTATAGATCAAATTAAAGACAACTTTATCAGCCTTAAGATAAATTTCCAAAAAATAAACTATTTTGTTTCAATTAAATGTTCTTTAGAAATAAAAAGACAGAAAATGCAATTTTCACTATCTTTAGAAAAATTCAAATGGCTGATATTTCTAGACTTATTGACCGACTTAACTCATCTTTGAACTCATTTGAGGTAATCGTCTAAGAAACATGTGTACTAAATTTCATTAAGATCCGTTAATAACTATAAGCACTAGGTCGTGCCAAAATTCAACTTCCGTGATGGATCTCTTAAAATTAGAATTTTGAGTTCCGCTTTTAACAGGAGTTGTGTTTGGGCATTTTCTGACATATTTTGAGCGTAAGGGATTTATTTGATTTTCATATATTTTTTTTACAGAAGTTTTGTTTGGCCAAATTTTGAAATTTTAGAAAAAATGCCTAAACAAAACTCCTGTTAAAAAATTCTATGATAATCAAATAAATCCCTTACGCTCAAAATATGTCAGGAAATGCCCAAACACAACTCCTTTTAAAAGCGGAACTTAAAATTCCAATTTTAAAAGGTCCATCACGGAAGTTGAATTTTGGTACACCCTAATAAGCACAATCGCGGCAACAAGCCCTGAGCTGTCCCTTCATTTATCAATTATCGAGTTAGAATTAAAAAAGCGATTTTGATACCCTAAATCGATTAATTTTCCGAAAATTTTTAGTGAATGTCAACAATCCAAAAAAAAGGCCATTCGGCAGCCGAAATGGAAGTAGATTTCATGATGAACAAAAAAAATACTACTAGGGTTACATACAAAAAAAATTAATTTCTGTTACATTAAATAACAATGACGTCAAAACGAATGCAAAAGTAAAATTTCATTAAATCTGTCTGAAAAAGGAGGTAATTTTTGGCCTAGACTGATAATGAGGTACACAAATTGAAGCTTATTTAATAAGCTTTCAGATGCTTTTTATAGAATTTTGATAAAATATCGCGTTCAATTGTCATTGTACGGAAATACGGAAAAAGTGAAAATTTTTGCGATTTTTGAAAATTTTTGAATTGCTATTATTCCTATACTATTCAATTTGGAAAAATAAATAAGTATACAAATTGAAGCTTATTAAATAAGCTTTCAAATGCACTTTACATAAATCCGATAGGATGTCGCGTTCCATTGTTATTACACGGAAATAAGGTAACAGCGAAAATTTTTTTCAATTTTTGAAAATTTTTGAATTGCTCTGATTTCTAAACTAATCGACAGATTAGGCTCATCTTAGAACTTAACCTCGGAAATCGTCCTAAAAATAAGTATGTTACGTTTTATTGAGATCCGTACAGAATTACGGGAGTTAGAGAATATATATATATATATATACATACATATATAAACTTTCGAACTATATGCATTTTCTGAATCCGCTTGACGAGCTGAGTCGAAATATAACAAAATTTTTCAAAAGTTCCGTCATGAGGACCAATGCAATAGTTAGATTTCTATGAAATCTACTAAAAAGTTTCACTTGCATCGTGGTTTCATAAGACCACACAATATTTTTTTCTCTTCGTGAATGATTCAAAACAATTTCAATTTTTATTTTATTTATTTACATTCAATTACATTGTATGTTTTATTTTTGATCAAATGTTATACATTTCACAATTTCGTTGCTTTGAAAAAAGCCATAAGTATAATATAATGCGTTTTTATAATATTTTCGAAAAATATTGAACTTTTTTTTTATTATATTAAATTTAATTGAATATTATTCATTATTTAATGTATAAACTGAAATATACAGTATATAAAAATGCCATCAAACAATTGAGGTATAATTATTTAAGAGAAAATAAATTATGATAATCAATTGAAAAACAAGTAAAAATACTTTAATAAAAAAAAAAAAAAAAGGGCAGAAATAGGAATTACGGGTATTGAATAAAAATATAAGGCTGAGAATGACTCGTGACATTATATTATGAGTCTATATATAACGTGCAGGATATTTTTATGCATTAGTCGTTTCATAGTTGGCAAAACATCGCCACGTATATTTTATAAAATATTCTCTATAGGTTCATGTATCGAACGCTCTTTCATTAAAGATTGTCATCGAGAACAAGAATTATATAATGCACTTAGAAAGATTGAGCATTAATCACAATTTAACTCATAGACTTATTGTAATTGTATATTGATCATCATCATTAATTATGATTATTATTATTACTTATAATAATTTGATCAAATTATCTTATTTTAATGCAAATATATTTTTGAAATAATTTTTTAATTTCTGCCATTAATTTAGCGATAAGTAGTTTACAATTTCAGCAGTTATATTACACATATACATTGAATTATATTTCAATAAAATGTTGTTTCTTATTATCAATATGATTAAAATGATTCCATATGAAATCATCGAAAGTTATAAAAATAATGCAGGAGGTATTTTTTTTTTTTGTAAAGATTAACAAATAGCTTTGAGATTTAATATTTAAACAATCAGAGTCACATATAAATATGAGTATCCCTAGTAACCTATCACAATTAATCTTTTTTTAACTTTGTTTTACAAGTTTTTTTTTTATTTTTCACATTTCACAAACAATCAATCTACTTTTTGTTTCACTTTGAAATGAATTTTATCTTAAAATTATTCCTTTTTTATAAGTATATAAATTTCAAGAAGAACTGGAATATCCTTTTAAGTGTACGTAAGTGCAGCTTTTACAAGTTCATTTTTTCAGTGTTTCAGTAACATCACGTTTCACCAATTCTAATAGCACTGGGAATAATTTGAAATTTACCGATTCATTCTTTCAAAGTTCTCCAAATGAATATGTTATAATTCCTTTAAGATAACGTGAATTCATGCGAAAGCATATTCAAAGAGTATATTTATATATTTTTACAATATCTCACAAATAAATTAGTAAAACGGTTGACCCTACAGGTCATACCTGCAATTTCTCGCTAATTTCCGATGCAAAGCGCATCAAATTTCACTTATTACGACGTCTTAGTACACTTTCTTAAATAAATTTGAACTGATATCGAAATTGAGAAATTATTTTAGAAAACCACGTTTTTTAAGATTTTTTAAAACGAAATATTTCACGAACGAATTAACCGATTTAAACAAATTTTGCAGCATTCGACACAATTTTTTACTAACTAATAGTTAATTTTTTACATCAAAAACGATTCGTCAAGAAATTTTGAAGATATATAAAGACAACACTTTTTTTGAAAGTTTTTAACAACAATAATTTTTTTACGGATCGACTGATTTTGACGAGATTGCGGCAATCGACGTCGTTTTTCAAGTTTACAAGCTACTTAAATTTTGAAATCTACTGTTGCATCAATTTTAAAGTTATTCCAAAAAAACAATTTTTTGAAAATTCTATTTTTGAAATTTCTCAAAATTTATTAGTTTGAATCGGTTCCAATAGTACTGAAAATCAAGTTTGATAATGCCCTTTCAAACACCCCCAAGTTCGTTCAAATAGGTCAAACCGTTAAAAAGTCATGATAGGTTTACACACACACACCCTCACACACATATAGACTGACATACAGACACCATCGTAAAAATCATCAAGAAAGCTTCCTAGGACCTCAAAATGTCGAGATCTGATGAAAACTCGATATTCCAAAACCGGGGTGAAACTAATAACATCCCGAATTTTTAGAAATCATTGATTTTTATAGCGGGAAGCTAAAAATGTTGGACTGTAATGTTAAATAAATAATAACATCCATAAAATGCTTAAAAATAAGTCAGACCTTAGTTATTTTTTTTTATCTCTCAATCTGAATGATTAATAACAAAATGATCGCTGGTACCCGTTGTATCAATATTATTAGTACTGGAAAGCTCTTGTGCCAAGATTAAATTTTTATCGGGTACCAGCAACCATCCTCACGTTCTAACAAATTTATACACAATCCCGAACACAAGAACGCTTACAAGCATTAACACTATAGCAGTGACGACTTTTGCGAAAGCATTCAACCCACTTTCCGAGTGCTGCTGAGGTTGTCTTGTTGGTACATTTTGTTTCAATGCGAGCCCTCGTGCCAACGCTGGAAAAGCTAGACTCTGGGTGAAGGTCAATTTGTGAAGGGATTCTGAGAATGAATATGGACCAACTGAGCCTCTTGCTGCAGCTCGTAAAAGTGCATACTCCAAATCCAAAGCATCAAAAACGCTGTATCTGTTTTCAGTATAGGACATTTCAGTAAATAGCGATGAAAATTAACATATGTTGTAAAATAAAAATCATTTTACCTGCTACTACGTCTCCGATCATGCGAGGAATGAATAGAAGCCATTGTTGAACTGGGCATAGACTTAAGACTGCTAGTGGTTGAACTAGATGGGCTTGGAGGTGCAGGAGGTTGTTCTTCGTCTATAGACGTCCGATCTGGTGACAATGGAGTTCTTTCTGCTGCATGATGATTGTGTCGCAAGTGATGTAAATATATACGCGCATGATCTGGATGTAAAAGACTCGGGCGTCGGGATTGTAAAGGACTGGCTGTTGCGCTGCTGCATGTCACACCACATGGGGATGGTGATGCCTTTTTTTTATTGAATACATACGATAATTATTGTTTCGCTGATATGAAAATGTTGTTTTTAATTCGTTAAGTCGTAACATTTAACGTAAAATAATAAATTATTATTTTCTGTTTAAATCGTGTATATTAATATTTAATTAAGGTATATAAAGTTGAAAATTTATTGTACCTGAATCGATTCGATACCACTGTCGTTGATACTGTCTTGTGCATCTGGAAAAATGAAAGCTTGGCCGTCGGCCTCGCCTCTTGGAGATTCGCTGGGCCATATTTGAAGTAACGGCAAGCCACTTGGAGGTTCAGTAGAAACTATGTCAGCTGTAACTACTACTGCATTACTCTGATTGCTCGTACCCAAGCATAATCTGCTCAGTTCTCTCAAAGGCTTCTATAAATTTAAAAAATTTCTAATATTTAAATGTGTACACTTTAAGTTAATGCTTTGGCTGAAGTCATAATGAATAATTAATTATTCCAATAAAGAAGATAAATAACAATTAAAATTAATAGTGTTGAAACCAACTTTAGCTTACTTAAGTCATCTAACGTAAAAATACATTTTTATTATATAGTTAAAAACAGCTGTTTTCATGTGAAAAATATTGACAATATTTTTTATGTTGTTGTGTTTTTATATTATTATTAGAATATATTATACGTGCGCCTGAATATGTTATAGCATTGCATATGTTTTCATATTTATAATATATTTGACCAATCACGTTACAAATAAATTGATGCCACATACATTTCATCTCAATTTTATTATGGATAATTGTAAATATATTCTGTAAAATATCGAACACAGTGTAGTTTTTTATGTATTTTATATTTTGTTTTTCGGAAACCCTCGAAACCTCAGGCCCACCGAGGATACACGTCGTAAACATGGTTTAATAGTATACACCGTGCAGATATCACATGTAGATCGTGTATACACTGTAAAAAATTTTGGTGTAAAAATGAGTTCCGAGAACTTTACACGGTCGTGTAGTGTCAAATAACGGTCTAAAATTTCCTCGGTGTAAATTATCCACCTATATAATTTTTACACGATGTAATCTACTTTTTCTACACCACTTCGCGTAAATCTTTATATTTCTGTTGAATCAGAAAGAATTTATCATTGAATATTTTTAACCGTAGTAAAATAAGGTCTATTCGTAAGGTTTTTGAAAAAGTTCAATTTTGTGTTTGTTTATGGTGAAAATTACCGTTACTTCATTATATTTTATGGCTAATATGTATTAAAATAAAGATTATATAATGATACATTTCGATAATTAAATGAAATATTTTCGATTTTTTTCAAAATCTCCCTTAGCTCGGCCTTATTATCCGCCGGTATCTTATATCAATATTATTTAAATTTTAAGAGAATTTACCCCGCGGGGTGAAGTCTATTAGTAATATAATTTGAATCCGTCTCGGAGTGAATTTCATTTCCGGAGGGAGTAAATCAATTGAAAATCATCTACTCCACATTTACTCCCAAATCACTCCGCATTCACTCTGAAAATTTTTTACAGTGTATAAGATAGTAATAGTTATCAATGCAGATTAAAACAAAAGCTAATAACTATTGCTATCAATAGATGAAATTACCATTTTATATTGAAAATATTGTTAACACTAAAAAAATTTGAATTTTTTAAAAACTGACATCACTAAAATTTGGCATAAAATATAATCAGTCATATAAACGATGATCGTAGAACTACTTGAATTATATATTCCAACTCTAATAATGTTTCATAGGCAACAGCATTGATGTTTTTAAATAATTATTTAAGCAATGGCGCAATATTCAAAAAATTGAATTTAATTTCTTAACGCAAAATTGTCACTAATTACACATTTACACGTTTCATGGTGTAGAAATTAGAAATTTACACCAGCTAATTTTAACCCGGTATTTGATGTAACTATCATTCTAAAATTTGTACACTGAATTATTTACACTACATCGAGCCCAACAGTATATGTGCATGGCATTTGTCCATTATGTACACGCAGCGTTCGCACGCTGTAATCGGCTGTATTCATACACAGTGGATCTACGGTGTATACACGATAATTAGATAAATGCAAAATTATGCACTGCTATATAAAAGAAAATATACATTTATTTTATCTAACTAATTGTTTCTTCATCTCAATTAATCCAAGTTTTGATATATGTAACTATTCTAGTTGAGTACAAACATTTTCAATTTTTAACTCAACCGTTTCATCCAAATAAGTGCACATCGATACAGGATAAGAGATGAAGCTTATATCTAACCTTGACCTTAATTATCAGATTATGTGCACCATTAAATCGTAAAATTCAAATAACAGATACTAAGGATAAAACAACGCAATTGTTTTGAATATATTCGCATTTATTTATTCATGTTATATGATAAAATTAATTTAAAATATGACCCTCATTCTGTTTGCATCATAATTTGCAATGGAATTCCTGAATAAGAAGAAATGCCATCATACATCGAATTCCACAAGAAAAATTTTACATTATAAATACCTTCTCTACAATGGTTTACGTCTTGAAAGAAAAATATTTTCTGGACAAAAAGTCAAAATCGTTTCTATATTTCATATTTTTTAATTTCAAATATCTGCATTTCTTCATTAATTAAAAAATAATCTTTCATTCAAATAATGTCAACGTTTCTTCATCAGAATCAAAAAAGAAATTTGAAACATTATTATTTAAATGTTGATTTAATTTTTGTATTTTGTCTTGCTTTCTTCAATAACTATTCATTTCTCAGACTTTTGAAAGCAACAAGTGCCAAATAGAAGGACAAACAAATAATTTCATTTATTTATAGAAGTATTAAATAAGAAAATCAATAAGGTAGCGAGTTTATGTAAAATGTGTCAATTTTTTCCAGCTTTCTTTAAAATAAGATATCGGTAAGAGTTTACTGTACACAGAAAAAAAAATTAACTTGAATCAAGAAAAAAATCCTTGAACCAAGAAAACAATTTTGAAAAGTTTCGTTGTCTTGAATCAAGATTAAAATTTTTTAAATCAAGTAAAATTTACACTTGAATCAAGAAAAATTTCTTAGTTTAAGAATTTTTTCACTCAAATCAAGAAGATGAAGTTCTTCAAAATTATTTACATGATTCAAGTAAATTTGTTTTCTGTGTATACATCGTTGATTATATTTATTAAGTTGTAATTTAAAAAACAAATCATTGACTAAATGTTTCGATACTATGAATGGTAAATCTAAATTTCTAACTCCCATTCGAAATTTCTTCAAAAAACCAAAAACATTCGAAAAAAAAAATTTTATGGATTTCATTTTAAACGCAACAATTTTGTCCGATAAAAAAAAAGGAACAAATAACTTAATTAAAAAAAAAAAAAAATAGAAATTAATCATTCTATGTCAAATCGATCTATCATTAGAGTCGTCCTTTTAATTGAGACGAAATTTCGTAAAAATTTCCCGTTTATCATAAAACAAAGATTTTATAATATATATTATATATATATATATAGAAATGAACTTTAATTTATCTTAAAAAGGATACTTGGAGCTATAAAGAAAAAATTGATTGGAAAAGAAATTTGCAAAATGAAAAACTCGTATAATGTTGAATTTTTAAAAATCGTGAAAATCAACTTTCGACATTAAATTATGGGCTCACATTTCTTGATATAATACCTTTAAATAAACTTAATTGATCATGAAATTTTCAGAGATGTTATCTAGACTGAAAGAATAAAATTTTTACAGGCCTTTTTTCTCCTTTCCTTGTAAATATTTTAGAAGAGATTTCAAAAAACAAAAAAAAATTTTTTGCTGAAATTTAAAAATTCATAATTTGAAAATGGAAAAAAAAATTTTCTGTAAATTTCCGGATCACTTAAAATTATTTGAATAACTATTCTAAAGTTATTATTCTTAATAATTTGAGCCCAAAATTTAATGTCGAAAGTCGATTTTCACGATATTTGAAAATAAAAAATTCTACAAATTTTTCATTTTGCAAATTTTTTTCCAATCTTTTTTTTTTCTATAGCCCCGAGTATCTTTTTCAAAACAAACAAAAGTTCATTCATGTATCTGTGATAGTTGTCGAGATATTTGTAAAATTCAGTTAAAAAATTAGAAAAAGTAAAAAATTTTGAATTTTGAATAACTTGAAAAAAATTTTAAAAAAATTTTTTTTTTCTTAACAAGTCTTTATTTTATGATAAAATTTTTTTTTTACTAAATTTCGTTCAAACTCAATGGGGTTGATTTCAACTATTGGTCGATTTCACATGGAATGACCCAAATTCATTGATAAATAATTCAGTATTAAATAAACGAAATTTTTTGACTACAATTAATCTTGTCGTCTGTCTTTTAGCTTAATCTCCGATTGTACGGTCATTTTGAGTAAATGAAATCGATTAAAAGTTAATGAGTTAGTAAGTCACGCAACTTTTATATCACCTTTGTTTTCACTTTATTTTCAATGTCATTATTTATTATTATATTATATTTTTAAGACTTTTTTTTATTACAGTCTCGCCTAAAAGTACGTTAAAAATTATACAATTGAATAACTATTATTAATGGTTATATTTTTTAACGCATATTTAAACCTTGAAGTAAAAAAATGTTATAAGATAATTACACTTAATCGTCAAAAATTGTAATTGTACCAACAAATTTTTAATTAATCTTTTACTCTTTATTAATATCAGATAATGAATTAGTGATGGTGCTCGAATTTTATTTTATAACAAAGTGTTTTATTGAACCATTAACTCTTTCAAACTTTGTCTTATCACATAGCAACTGTGATTTAAAATAAAAACAATTCCGCAAAGAAATAAATAAACTACAGAACTATCAAGTTTTGCTAGTCACTATAAAACTTCAAAATTAAATTTAAAAAATTGGCGCTTATTAAAATTTCATGAAATTCTGATTAATAATAAATTTTATTAATAAAGAAACCTACCTGCATATCTCCAACGTGAGATTCATGGCAGAAAAGAGCGAAGTCATCTCCATCGAGACAGTCAGCCTCGAATTAAATTTTTAGCAAAACTTTTGAAAAGTTATTTAATTAATAATATCAATTTCAGTTAATTAGTTCACTAGGATATATTAATAAAGCTTTAATTTACTAATATTACAGAATCACAACATTGCGAATCGTACGACGTGAGAAACCGCGGGCTACTGAGCGTCAGTAAATAAAACGGATTGGTTTCGTCGGGTACATATCCAGGGGACCTAACCTTACTCTATAAGCGTGAGGTCAGCCGTGTTATAGCTAGCAAAGGATGGAGGGGGTCAGAAAGCTTTTAAGGGGGTATCAGTTTGTTTCGAAACGCGACAGTCATATGAAGAAAACTCGAGCAATAGCCAGTCTGGGAGAAAGGGGTTGTAGAAAGTGGGCACAAGAGAGAGCAGTATAGTAACTCGAGGACTCGACGCCGGCGCAGAAACTATTTCGTAGGTCAAGGTTACAGCCATACCATACCAAGGCAATTATTATGCTTTTTCTAAGGTATCCAATCAGTCAGCTGGTGTTCTTCACCGGCATTTGTATAGTATTGGTATCCTTTTTTTAATCTAGAAAAACTGCAGCTACTTCCATAGCACTTTAGGATCTGATACTCAATCGATTTCCAGTCTTATCACTTGAGCGACATTTTAATGCGTTATTTATCCTTTAATTTATAAATAATATATTTATCAGCCTTGACCTGTTGATCTTGAGTAACATTTAATGTTTAAGAATTTATAAAATAGAACAATATTGATAACTGCAAGTAGACACAATTTTAAAAAAAAACCTTATTGATAATACATCTCTTCTTATGTAATAAATATTTTTCGGTTTTCCCAACAGAAATTTGTGGAAACATTTTGAAACGATCGATGCCAGCAAGGTTTCTACGGTTGATAGTTTTTCAATCAACCTTATCATCTTGGATCCCATAATAAAATTGAGATGAAATGTATGTGGCATCAAACTATTCGTAACGTGATTGGTCAAATATATCATAAGCATGAAAATATATGCAAACTCCATAGTCAAGGCGCGCGCTTGCGCGCGTAAATTTAAATTCTAGTATTTATAAAAAAATAATGAAGTAGAATTGAGTAGCAAGTCTCAATTTTCAGATCAGCCCATCAAATTTTAACGAGACATTCAACCACAGTAAAATTCTCGTTCATGGATTTCATTAATCACGTTGGCAAGCAAACATGCTAACCATTCAATCATGCATCTATGACAACCACTTCAATGAAGGTCGTTATACCTACAAAGCTAATAACCTAATGAAAAAAGTTTTTGTCTAATCATATATATAATCATGCATAATGATCTAATATATATGATGGGATCAAAAAATTGGCAAGGTCTAATTATATATGGGGCATTCCACGCCAAATCAACCACTTTTGACCCTGACCCCTTTTGATTTGGCTGAAAGTTTATAAGTTGGGTAAAAAAATTTGAAAAAATTATGAGAGACGTTTTTGATAGGGTAGAAAAGGATGGTAAACTTTCAGCCAAATCAAAAGGGGTCAGGGTCAAAAGTGGTCGATTTGGCGTGGAATGCCCCATATAATCATATATAACAATATTTAATTGTACGTTATTACTTCTAATTAATTATTTGGTTACTTTTATGGATGTAGTACTTGACATAGTCGTACGCAATTCTCTATAACCAATTTAAATACGAAAAAAAATTTTACATATAATCTTACGGCTATAACACCAGCGGTCACCCATCCAACTATTAATAATGCTCAATGCTGCTTACTTTTGGTGATATCCGTGCGCCTTGAAGTTCTCATCTGCTGTGCTGCTATTTTATGTGACAATTATTCTGTTAAGGTAGTACTTCCGCGACAATCCAGATAAAAAATTTTGGCTCGCTATTCATGTTATACGTATCGACAGAGCTAAGGTTGTAGGTTAAGATTTTTAAACGTTACTGTACTCGTCGACTACTATATTCTCTATACATATACACTACATATACACACACACTACGGTTTCAGTGACTAGCAGCTGTTTTTCGTACCCCCTCTCCTAAAAATAATCCTCTAAAAGTAAAATTGATTTTAATTAATCTCGAAAACTACATGGTAAAGAATTTTCATTTTTTTTTTTAATCGTTCGAAATATCATATTCTTCAATCTACTAGTTTTTCGATAAAGTTGTGAAATTCCTTCGATGGAAAAAATTAAAAATACTGTCATTTTCCCACGCTTCTCCTATGTTACATGTACAAAAATGTCATTTTCAATTGCAATTATCTCAAGTTTGGTATGGTAAATCGTCTTCAATTTTTAACAGCATATGTATTATGTATTTAATGACTTATATTCAAAGTTTTTTACTTTAAAGTTTTTTTCTGACTTAAACTTATAACATTATAAATTAACTTGTATCGATAGAAGATTATACAGTCTTGAACCAAGTAAAGATGTTATCGATCGGAGTGATTAGATCTCTCACTCCAAGAAACATGAAATTTACCCTGGATTTAGAAAATCGAATTCGCACGAGATCTCCATATTTTAAGTTTCAAAATAAGGTCCTAAGAAGATATTCTGACTATTTCTACGAGAGTGCCCCTTCGCGCGCGCGCGCGCGCGCGTGTGTGTGTGTGTGTGTGTGTGTGTGTGTGTAAACTCTTTATAAATTTTGAACGGCATGACCGATTGAAACAGGGTTGGGAGCGTTCGGAAGAATTTCGTTGCCATTATATTTTCTGTGAGTTTGAGTCAGTGCGGCTCTGTAGATTTTGATAAATTTCAAAAATAAAATAAAATGAAAAAAAATTTTTTTTTTGATTAACTTTTAAACTAGTGTATCGGTCGGTTTAAAAATCTAATTAGCTCTTCACCTCAAAAAACAACATCAATTGCCGCAAACCACATTAAAATCGCTCGGAAAACTCAAAACTTTGGAATAACTAATTCACAGAGCATTTTGAACTCGTACATAGCGAGAAGTTCCAGGGATGGCCTTCAGAGTCAACTGTTTTCCATACTTAGCTAATGTAATTGTTGAATTTTTTAGCTAGAAGAACTTAAAAATTAATCAATTGGAAGATTTTCGAGAGTTTCAAGCTCGCCGAAGAAAGTGAAAGTTCCTAGGATAACCTATACAGGTCAACCCCCTTTAGATTTTTTCTTTAATTTTATTTTTGAGGTTTCCCAAAATAGGTCTAGAATCTTTTAAGACGAGAGTATTCGATTTTCTTATAAATCTCGAATAACAATTAAATAGTGAGCTGGTTTGAATGATTATTTTATAGTATTTAAAAACATTATGTCCATTTGAGTATTAGGGTAAATTTTATATTTTAAGCTATAATGTCAATTTTATATTTTCAATTATAACTTTATATATATCATTCTTGTCATTCGACTTTGCGCTTTGGCATTTAAACCTAATAAATTTAAACCTAATAGCTTCCCAGGACCTCAGAACGTGGAGATCTGATGAAAACTCGATTTTCGAAAACAATGGGGAGAAAACAATAAATTCAAAATTTTCTGAAAATTTTCTCTTCATTTTATGAGGGTAATTTCTTTGTTATTTTGTAAATAAATATTTTTATGATAATATGAGAATGATTTCAATAACATTATGGGAACTAATCTCATAATGTATTGGAAATTACCAATTTAAAGTTCCCATAATTTTTTTTTGTGTAGTCGTGTTGTATTAACTTATTTTCTAATTTCATTTATTATCAATAATCATCATTTCTTTTTTTTTTTTAAATTACGAGTGTCAGTAGCTACTACTTATTTTTCAAAAGAATTGCCAATCTTAAAATTAAATGTAAGAGCGAGATCTGCATAAAAATATTATATAATTATCGGTTATAGTTATGCTTAGTCTACCAGGAATAATTTACAGAAGCTATTCATGTTATTAATTAGACAAATGTCAAGAGTATTTTATCTAAATTGTACATTATATTATACGCCTTTTGTAGACGATAGATTGGATCCGTAGTAGCAAAGTTAATACTCACTGTTGGAAGTTATAAAAAAATATAAAAATAATAATTTTTAAATATAGGTTAAATTTAATATTACAGTTGACCCAGTTAAATTAAATAATTTCTTTATTTTTTATTCAATAATAATTTAAAATCCTTATTTACTTTAAAGAAACTTGTAACTTATTTTCACAAATGCGCACGTTAAAAAAATAAATATTCGTAGATATGTACGCTTCATAAACGTGAACATCAAATACTTAGTTTAATACCTTTTCTGTCATTCAATTATCATGCTCGAGTTTGCGAAGTTGTAGTATAAATCAGTAGTCTTGAAGCAATTGTACAACCTTTAATATTATTTACTATTCTGAAATTATAATAAACTCTTAATTTTCATTGCAGTTTTAAGTACTGGGGCATAAAATTTATGGATTCGTGGAACACGTACATTATAAAAATCTTAAAATATAATTCTTGCAATTAATTTTTTTTTCTATCTAATATCTTTCATTTGTAATTTCAATCAATAAACCATTGAGTCTAAATTCTTTTTAAGTAATTAATAGAAAGGAAAAACACTAAAAAATAAGATTCGAGTAATGTTTTCAAGTTTTTTTAGATATGACTAAACTTTGCTACAATTTATCACTAAATTTCTAGCGTTCTATCTGAACACATTATGATAAATAATTTAACTGTTCTTAACACACAGATATACAGATATATTACCGATTACAGCTCTGTTGAGTTATAGATCTATGGTCGATATCGATCTTCTTCGTATTCATAAGATATTCATAATCCTACAGATGGCGTTTATGATACTTTCAACGATTTCTTCTTGCAAATATTACTATTTTTTTTATTATTATCAAGGAGAGGGAGTATGATCAAATCAAAAATTGTAGTTAAATTGGACTTATAAAAGCTTTCGAAGAAAAAAGCTTTTCAGATCAGTTCAAAATTTTTATTATTTGCTTTAACAACTAATTGGCTGTGAAAAAATGACGATACTAAATTAGTTTTTACGATTGTTTTTTTTTTTTACTGTATTACCTTATTTTTTTAATAAATATATTTCTTGAATTTATTATTAAAAAATATCAATTTTTGTAGAAGACATCAGGAAATTGTTTGCGTGAAATTGAATATGATTTATACCAAAAATACATGGTAAAATTCTTTTATCTTTCTTTTAGCTAAAAGTTTGTCGTTATCGGAAATGTTCAAAAGAAACTAAGCATTATAAGTTGAAGCTTCTGAAGTTTTATACTAAGAAAGTAAAAAAAATTTTTTTTAATCATTTAAAAACGCAAAGCCTGAAACTTTCCACACAGAAAAAAAATTCTTCATTGTAGCAACAATTTTCTTCACTCAAGAAAACGAAAATTATCTTGATTGAAGTAAAATAAAAATATACCGAATCGTCAAAATTTATTGTAAAAATGAATGTTTAACAATTTTCAATTTGTATTTGTAAAATTTTCATAGAATTTGAAATGAATAAACCGGTAAAAGTTCGATATTTGAAAATGGTACTACCGTTGCATGCTATTTTCTCAGCGGAAACAAAGCAGGAAAAGATAATTTTCAAAAAATAGTTAGTTCGTAAAAACTACTTCCGTGTAAGAATTAAAAAAGTTAAGAAATTATTATTCAAATCACTTTGACTAACACTTCACAAAATATGGATTGCCTAAAATGGAAGTTTATTCATTCGAATCATAAAGTCTGTTATCAACTGTATCATTCATAAATTAATAATATCAGCTTACGTATTTGGCTATTAAAAAAGAAAATTATTCTGACGAAATGATTAGTACATAGAATAATAAAAACTCACAGTAGATTGAAAAGTGTGGGCTTTGATTAATGAAAACTAAAAGATTTAGCTTTACTAGGTATATTAAATATAGAATACATTAAGTAAATAAATAAATAAATAATAATGAATAAGCAGTGATGAACATTTAAGAATGTGCAGTCACAATAAAAGCTCCTACGCTTTGAGTTTTCCACTGTGACTAGAAAAATTAACTTTTGTATAATCTCATCACCCAAGACAGAATGAAGCACATATTTGACTTGGATGTTTAATAATACGATAATGAATTAATATTCAATATCGGTACGGTTATATTATTATTATATCAGTTTTTCAATTATGTGACATTTATATAAGTATTTTAATATCTACTATTTATTGAAATTGATTAGAATCGAAAATATCAATTGAAACATCACTTTATCAAATATGTTGTAACAAAAGATTAAAAAAAATATTGAATCAACTACCAACATCCTTGAAAAAAAAGTTACAAATCCTTTGGAAAAATAACTTAATAAAACTTCACATTTTTACCCCAAAGTCAGCTATTTAGTTCTTTTAAACCGCCTGATACATCCATTCGTTCAAAAAAACATTAGCTAAAACCATCAAATCTTTAATCTAAAATATAATCGAAGGATGTCAATTTTCAAAGAATAAATAATCGATAAAAATCTTGAAATTAAATCAATATCAATTATCTAAGTGTAAGAACAAAGCAAATCAACAACAATAGTTATTATAAAAGGTCTCAAGCTGTGTGTTTTTACTATGAAAGTAAATGTCGCTTATATCTCAAATCAGATGATCAAGTCATTTCTTTATCGTTACCTTTAGAATCTTCAATCATTTATATTCTAAAGTTCGAGAAAGTAAGTCAAAAGTTCAAAGCTCAAAGGCTCATGTAGCAATAAAAATTTCTTCACTCGTATCATAAAAAATATTCAAAATTTATTTTTGATTTAAACATTATCATGTTTCAAGTAAATCAATTATTATTAAATTGTTAAATATTTTTAGTAGTAAAATTAAAACAGAATATTATTTTTAAAAAATAAATTTCAAAAATCAACAATTTTCTTATCAAATTAAAAGTGTACTCTATCAGATAAACCGACATAATGATCTAATGATCTAATTATAAAATCATGAGCAATAAGCTTTGCAACATTGATCGTGCCTAACTTAACTAAGTGCTTAATTAACTTATTAAATTAAAATATAGAAAAATATGCTTTAACAAAGCTTTTAAGTAATTAGTTCAACCGTTAAAGTCCCCAGGCATCTCAAGCAAAAGAATACAAAACTTATGTGTTAACAAACATTATAAGATTTTTTTTATAAATTATTTAAAAACTCAGCTTTAACTTAATTAAAAATCTAGACCAACTGACTTAATTAAGTAACAAAATTATAGTTTAATAAATATTTTTAATAATAGAGTTGTTGCAGAATGTCACAGATGTCAACTTGATCAAGGGGGGACACAAGAACACCTCGTTCTCGGGGACCCCTTATACTTATCAAGGTAGTGGTGGCAATATAAAGCCTAGTGAGTGGCGCGGCTCAGCCAGTTCATAAGCGGTACCTACAATCCAAGGTCCGCGCCCCACTCTAAAGTGTTATTGAAAGATATTAATTTTTAATAAAAAAAAAAAAAAATTATTTTAATTCATGTTCTGTAAGGGTGGTTATCAATAAACACTAACAAAAATTAGTGCGATAAAAAACTTATTCGTATTTCTATTCTTTACACTATTTATTTCTTCATTACTACAGTCCTGTAGAATAACCACCACTATCGCCGTTGCCGGTCTTCGGTGGGCCCATAAAAGAGCAAGTGGTAGTGTCATCCAGAAGGAAAAGAAACATATGACTCGGCGTCGTATAATCCTCTTCTTCTCATTGTAATAACATATATAATTAGAAGTTTTCTTAATTAAAAGTGCGCGACATTTGCCGTCGCACGATTTTTTATAAAATTTTTGAGGATGAAGTCCTCAATTGTGATTTTTCTCCTTGTCACGACGCTTGCCGTCATACGTAAGTAATTAATTTTACCACTTTTTTATGTTTCTTTAATTTTTAATAAGGTGATGGTTAATAATTTGAAAAATGTGGAACAAATATAGAATATTTTTTTAAGCTTTTTTTATTTAATTTTATAGATTAGCATTTTTTTTTGATAGATCAAACAGTAATCATAACTGAGTTAATCAAATAGTTAATCAAGTTAATTAAATAAATGAATATTTAGTGATTGGAGAAAGGTCAAAATTTCTTGAAAATTAAATTTTTAAGAGTTGAGTCAATTTATACTTAATTTCTCTGGGTACTGGTTTTATGATAATCAACATATCGATGGTATTGAATATAAAAACCGGTTCTCTTACTATATATTTAAATCATCATCCACTCTTGATTTCTTTCTAGCTGCGCTTAATTTTTAAATTTTTTATTATTAATAACAAAATATCTGGCTATTTGTTACAATTTTGTTAATCTTAAAATATTAACAATACTTTTAATTATAATTTTAATTTATTAATAAGTACAGAACCGCAACGAAAGTTGCATAAGAGATTAGAACGTGAAAGCCCAGTGCGCTGAATCTCTCTTTCTCTCTTTTCAACTTTACGTCACTGCTGCTTCTGACTATCCTACTAAAAGTGGGAGAAACTTTCGCCGTCTCTCCATAACATATAACTCAAAGGCTTGTGTAGCGAAAAAAAAATATCATTCAAACAAACATATGTGACAAATTTATGCCCAAAAAAATAACTTATCTGAATATATTTAATATTTTATATGGAAGATAAACTGATACGCAATGGAAAGCTTTATCATATTGGAAGTAAAATAAAAAACAAATTTATTGTTTCTTACAGACGGAGAGAATGTTCGTGTAAAACGTCAAGAAGAATCGAAAAAAGATGAAAGCTTTGAAAGCGAAATATGCAAGGATAAAGACGCTGGCGAGTGGTTTAGGCTCGTTGCTGGCGAAGGTGATAACTGTCGAGATGTAATCCAGTGTACAAGTTCAGGTTTACAGGCGATACGTTGTCCAGCTGGTCTTTATTTCGACATTGACAAGCAAACTTGCGATTGGAAGGGCGCTGTTAACAATTGTAAACTTAAAAATAAGGAACGAAAAGCTAAACCACTGCTTGTAACTGAGGAACCACTTTGTCAAGATGGATTTTTAGCGTGTGCTGATACATCTTGTATTGAACGTGGACTGTTCTGTAACGGAGAAAAAGATTGCACTGACGGATCTGATGAAAACAGTTGTGGTAAGTAAAAAGTTATTTTTGGTCTTCAAAATACATATATCATTGAGATTTATGAAATTATTTATGATTTTATAGACATGGACAATGACCCGAACAGAGCACCACCTTGTGACCCAGCAGTTTGTGTTTTACCAGATTGCTTTTGCTCTGAAGACGGTACTACTATCCCTGGTGATCTTCCATCAAAAGATGTACCTCAAATGATAACGATAACTTTTGATGACGCAATAAATAACAACAACATTGGACTGTACAAAGAAATTTTTAATGGAAAACGTAAAAATCCAAACGGTTGTGATATAAAGGCAACATTCTTTGTGTCACATAAATACACAAACTATTCAGCAGTTCAGGAAATGCACAGAAAAGGCCATGAAATTGCTGTACATTCTATTTCGTAAGTAAACTATTGATAAAATTATAAAAAAAAAAAAATTAACTATTTAATCATGTATTTTTTATCATTTGTTAAGGCACAATGATGATGAACGATTCTGGTCTGATGCAACTGTCGATGAATGGGCCAAAGAAATGGCTGGGATGAGAATAATTGCAGAAAAGTATGCTAATTTAACAGACAATAGTGTTGTCGGTGTACGCGCACCTTACTTACGTGTCGGTGGAAATAATCAATTTACGATGATGGAAGAACAAGCTTTTCTATACGACTCAACAATTACCGCAGCTCTAAACAACCCACCTCTTTGGCCGTACACTATGTACTTCAGGATGCCTCATAGATGTCACGGAAACCTTCAACATTGTCCAACCAGGTTAATAATTGACATTTATCCTTTTTGTTTTTTTACTTTTATCAACTGTTTTAACATATCAAATCACATATTTTATTTAACTCACCATTTGTATTTCAGGTCACATGCCGTATGGGAAATGGTTATGAATGAGCTTGACAGGAGAGAAGATCCTCAAAATGATGAATATTTACCCGGATGCGCTATGGTTGATTCTTGCAGTAACATCTTATCTGGTGACCAATTTTACAACTTCTTGAACCACAACTTTGATCGTCATTATGATCAAAACCGTGCGCCACTTGGACTTTACTTCCACGCTGCTTGGTTGAAAAATAACCCAGAGTATTTAGATGCTTTCCTTTATTGGATTGACGAAATTCTAGCTAACCATAATGATGTTTACTTTGTTACCATGACGCAAGTTATCCAATGGATCCAAAATCCACGCACTGTTACTGAATCAAAGAACTTTGAACCATGGAAGGAAAAGTGTGTTGTTGATGGACCACCAGCATGTTGGGTCCCTCATACTTGTAAGCTTACATCTAAGGAAGTACCCGGTGAAACAATAAATCTTCAATCGTGCGTTAGGTGTCCTAATAATTATCCGTGGTTGAATGACCCAACTGGCGACGGTTTCTTTTAAATTCCATTTTATAAATATTTAATTTACTCGTCATGACTTAAACCGCACGTGATTTAAATATTAAATGTAATAATGTTAAGATCCGTGCTGTGAATATAGGTTTTTTTAAATACAAAAAAACAGTTTAATGTGATCTACGTGATCGAGTGCCTGAAATTTTATTAGGATGCATTTATCATCTCTTTTTTATTTGGATTGAAGATAAAAAATCATTACTTTTCGAGACTTGAAGTGATAACTATAACTATGAAGTTAATATAATAAACTTTATAATTTATAATATTATTTTAATTAATCATAAAAATACAAATGGATTAGAAAAAATATATTAAAATAGCTTGTTACATCTTTTCTGCAAGTATTTTATAAAAAATAATAATAAAACTGTCAATTAAGATGAATGTATTATATTGTTTATATACTTTATTCTCATGAACCTGTATTTTAACAGTTCACAAACATTTTTATAAATTTATTTTTATTTTTTTGTTAGATTTTTTAATCTTTGAAAATCAAAGCTTTTTTACAAAAAAGCAATTCTTAATCTTGGCAGAAAAATTATTATATTTCTTTTTAATTATACGTGATAATTATAACTGAACATAAAATACTCAATTTTCAATAAAATAACATCAAAATTTATTATTTTAATACTGATAATTATAAATACTTTATTTTACCCATTTAATTCACCTTATCCTGAAAATTAAACACCTTAACATAAAAATATCAACAAGTCGATTATAAATTATTGAGCGGTTGTAAGTGATAAACTGGAAAACTTCATCAATGAAAATAATAAAAAAAACTTATTTACATTTCACGACTTTTATTAAATTTTAAGTGCGATGGAACTCGAGGTCTAAAAATAAAAATAAAGTAAAAAAAAAAATCTGTGATTTTTAATACGTCCTTATTGACCATTAAATTAAGATCAAGGTTAAGAGAAATTATGGTATCGAAATAATGATATAAGGGTGAAGGATGGTAAGAAAATTGTTGTCACCAATTATTATTATGAGAGAATGTTATATAATTTTATAAAAAAGTCGCTGATACATTTCTTATGAAGAAGATGATAATAGCATTTAGAGACGCAGTTGGCGTAAAAATTTGGAGATAATTACATTTTGATAGTGACTAATTTATATCAATTCTTTATTTTTAATAAGTTGTAATCTCAGGATCAATAGAATATTGTAAGAAATATAAAAATAAATAAATAAATGTTGAAAGTTGGTAGCCTCGTCAAATGCCAATCGGCCGATGTATTTGCATTCCAACATTTCTCCTGTAATCGTATGTCGTAGTCTATAAATACTCAATTTCATGATCTTATCATCATCTTTTCTCCAAGCTTATAAATATTTAATAAATCACAATACCTAAATACCAGTGATAAATTTTAATTTCAACACATATTTTAAAGATCATTTATTTACAGTGTTATAATCTAAAGATTTTTTTTAACTGAATATGAAAGTGCTATTCTCAAAATTTATTCCCTGAATACATTAAAATTACGTTTTGTAGAAGTATGAACAGATTTGAAATATGATAATGCAAAAAATAATGAACCTGACATTTATGAAAAATATCGATTCAAAAGTGATTGTTACAATCGCTCGAACTTTGCAATTTTGCTTCGTCTATAACTGAGTTGCTAACTTTATCCACACTCAACATTATTTCACATTATTACGTAAAACTGCTAAGTAGTATTTCAATAAGTTAGTGCCCCCCACGGAAAAAGTATATATTCTGAAATATATTCCAGAATATATCCGAGAATATATTCCGGAATATATGGGCATGCACTCACTTGTATTCCGTTTTACTCAAAATTTTTCTCTGGTCTATAGTCTGATCCATCGTATATATACTGAATATATTCAGATCAGGTATAAATTGAAATATATTCCTTGGGCAAAACGGGGTATATCCGGAATATATTTAGAATATATTCTCGAATATATTCTAGAATATATTTCAGAATATATTCCAGAATATATACTTTAAAATTTTTTCGTCATTGTGTAAAGTGTAAAAATGTTTGTGTAGAATTTAACATTTTCGTATGTTGATCAACACAATAGAGTGTTGATTTAACACAAATTGTGTAAAAAAAGTCATCAACACAAATTTTTGTGTTAAATTTGACGAAAAATTTTTTACTGTGTAACTTGTTTTCTCAAACATACTAAATTGAGCACAAAATTTCAGGTTTTACAAAGTTTCCTGAAAGGTAGAGGGTCAAACTTGACGTCTTAGAAAGAAGAGATCGTCTGTTTAAGAGTTTCAAACGAAATTGTTGAATATAAAAAAGAATGGGTCGAAGGGGATAAACATACTAAACATCTTTAAAAATCACGTGTAAGCGAAAGTAGTGAAAGCGTATGATCAAGACACCATTGGCGCTCAAACCGCAAGGCCAACACTTTACTTTGAATCTTGACATCTCGGGATATGTTTCTGAATGCATGTTTTACAGCATACATTAATACTGTACTTTTATTTATTTTCATTTTATTACTAAAATAACTTTGAAAATGATTTCATTTATGATAACTATTAACATAATTTTTATTATTAAAAGTAAATATCTTATTTTTTTCTATTTATCTAACACCATATCATTTATTTATGATCATTGATATAATTTATTCAATTATTAATATTCAATCTCCCTTGACATAAAATTTTATTCATGTAATTTAATTCAGTTAGATTAAAGAAAATTTTTAAAACTTTTAAAATACCTATAAGAGAATATATATGCATTAAACATATGATGACTGTTATCTACTTTTTAAATATATCTATATACTTTTAATTTCGTTCCATGCATAAATTTTTTAATTTATAATTTTAAAATTCGGGAAATTTTCACCAAGATATTATTCTATTTCTATAACTTTTAGGTCAATAGGTGACAGTAAACGGCCTTAGAGTTAATTTCTTCAAGTGCATGACTACTAGAGATAATAGATAAAACAACATCTGTAAATAACGATATATGTGAAACTATAAAATGATATATCATGAAAATTTTATAACAGTAATAATCGTCAGGTTATAGCAAAATTTTGAATATTAGTACGATAGTGTTTATATCATTATGAAAATTTTTATGATTAAAAATATTAATACCTATTGTAACGTTCTGGATTTTCCAGTACACGATTTTAATATTTTTAAATTCCAGGTTGGCCTCGTTAGGGTGTCGATAGACCCCAGAGGTGGGCCTGTTGCTTAGCTCTCTATTAAATTTTTAAGGATTTATAAGGGTTAAGAAAATCAAGAATATCAATTCCGATTAATGAAATATATTTTAGGAAAATTTTAAGAAAATAGATAGCCTGACTTGCTCAGGCTGACTGCTCTGGATTTGCATCCAGAGTACAAAAAAATTATAATATTTAATAAAATTAACAACGTTGCATCTCAGGTTACCCTAGAGAAGTCGTCGGAGTCCAGCTCTCATGATGTTTAGGCTAGAGCCCAGCGACTCTCTTATCACAAGCGATTTCCGTTACTTAGCTGATGATGAATTTTATTCATCATCAACGAAGCAGTTAAAATTTTTGAATTAAAAATTTATTTAAATATCATAAATTTAACGGGAACGTTACACCTATAATACAAAAATAATCATCATTTTCTTTTTTGATGAAAAATAAATACAATTAGTGCAACCACTAAATAACTGCTATTATATTACAGTATCTGAGTCTCGTTATGAGTCCTATTTGTTTTATTTTTTTTCTAACCAGACTCCCGTTAATATGAGAGAGACACTTATAGAACTCATAACGAGACTCGACTGTATATAATAAATATTATGAATGCTACGTCATATTTTGTTACAATGTATAAGTAGCAAAAGTTATTATCTTACGTTTGTAATTATTATAATAAAAGTTAAAAAAAGATTTGACAATTTTACAGCAATTTCTTTTTCTGTTGGCTAGACAATTTAATATGTACATATCTCAGGTAAAAAATAAATTATACAAAATTTCTTTCAAATGTTAACAGTGAAATCATTAAAATATGTAATAATGTGATATTTTGCTTCGCTACTTTCTAGACAAATTTAAAAGATGTTTAGATGAGGTACAATTATAAAATGCCTGTGATTAAAAAAAAAAAAATCTTAAAATTGTAAATTTTCAGAGAAATACTAATATTAAAACTTTTCTTGAAACATTTAAAAATATAAATATTGATGATGATAACCATCCAAAACAGAAGCTAAATTTCTCCAAAAATATAATTATACCAATAATTTTCATGTCTCATAAAATTCGAAAGTTCTTTTAATTTAGATGATTTAAATCTTCGCTATTTTTAACTAACTAAAAAATTAAGTGGTTAAGTAGGTAAATTTAATAACCATTAAAAGCTTCAGAGATTTCAGTTTAGTAATTAAGAAAAAGAGCTCTCTATTTTCTTTAAATTAAATCAAAACACATAATTATGGGAACTAACGGATTAGTTATTTAAAAGATGAATTGAAATAAATAAGAAAGATTTACAAAAATATTTATGTATTGCATCAAATACAATATATACTGTTACGAATGGAATAATTTAGTACCTTAGGGAGAATAAATGTTTTAATTCCATGAGATTGTATGAGAATTATAGATTTATTTTGAAGATACTATATTGAATGTACTCTTCATATTACAAATAGAAACTTCACTGCCCACATTTCATCTTTTTCACCGCCACTACGAACGACGTCGACAATATCATCAGTAAATTTTTTCTTAATATATATATTTATCATTTCCATAGTTATATGTTTTGATATAAGATAATAATGATAATGAAAAAAAGTTTATACAAACAATACAATCAAATCATGACGAAAAACTATGAATCTTAATTTACGTGATTGAGGATTTAATTTACTATTCTAGGTCACCACAAAGCAAATCTGTCTAACTTTCTCACGAATATCATTGAATACAAACTAAATGATATCATTATGA